AAAATTCTCACTAGAGTAAAACCAGCCCTGACACAAGCCCTTTGAACACAGCACAAACGGGTTTCCATCCCTACCCTGAATGATGCTGTACAAGTGGTCTGCTGCAGCTGGCATTTTGAACTTAATGCCATTTAAAAGAAAGGCACCATCTCAAGGTCATATTAAAAATATTTTGGGGTCATGTTAAAATAATTCAGTATATTTCAGTTCAATTTATCTTGAAGGGTTTATATCTTGTATAATTTCTCTCGGAGGAAAGGTCAGACTTGGGATCTATTATCAACAATAAAGGGCAAAATGCTGAAGAAGCAACCCGTAGTCTGCACATGTATTTGGTGCTTCGTTCTTTTGTTTTCCAGTTTTTGAGTAATAAAACATCTGGGTGCATAAAGAAGTTTTTGCACAGATGGTTGATGTAGGAGGACTTGAAAGCCCAAACAAATGAGTTTATCGCAGCTCCTACTTGGGCAGTTGTGTGTGTAGGCACTGAGGCTGCAGTGTGTTCCTACTTCAAATGCTACGTGGCTTCCAGTGCAAAAAGAAGTTATCAGCAGTCAAAAATCAAGCACTGATGTTACAGAAGAGATGCTTCTTCTATCCTCAAAACCCAGGACTTCAAACAGGTGCTTCAGTGTCATTCCACTCACCCTGCTCTTAGCTTAGACACTGTTGAACAGGACATCACCTTAAGACTGCAAGACTCAGACCTGAAAATCTGGGCAGGAAAGGTTTTACATAGTCTCAAACTGGCCAGTGAATACACAGTGTATGTGCAAGTTAACACTGCTGTGGCAATGTCCTTTTACCTGACTCTACTAGACTCAACAGAGAAAATGCCTCTTGATTTCAGTGGCAGCTAATCTTTGTAGGGAGGTAAAATGCAATGACCTTGAATTACCTGCTCAGTCTTGCATTGTGCCAGCCGGGAGTTTCACAGAAGCTGCCTGTGATACTGCTTTATAACAGAAAGCTCTGCTCGGGTAGATCTTAGAACATAACCTTGTGCTGCCTGAGATTTAAAAGCCAATGCTAAGCATTTGGAATTAGCTACAAGCACAACAGTAAGGAATCACACAGTTCTCTATCTCCACAACTAAGGCTGCCAAGACCCAGTGTTAGTTTTTACCTCTGAAGAGCGTCAGGTCACCGGACAGTGGCAATTTAACAGCCAAAAGGATATTTCAGCCCTTATCGTCACTAGCTAATAATACTCAACCTTCATACAACTTCCTCCTCCTTAGGAGTTTCCAGCCCCTTTTGCAGCCCAGGTGGCCCATAGGCTATCTTCACACGTGCCTCACATTTTTATAGCCAGCCTTCATTTTTGCCTCTTTGCTAGGGCAAGGTTTTCACCCTGAAATTTGCCTTTCCCCGTTTGAGTGCTGCTGTGCTTTCCCATTCATCCCGCTCCTTCCTCTGTGGCGACGCTTGTCAGGCTGACCCCTGCCACCACGGCCCTGCACAGCATAACTCTGCTAAGAAAACAAGAGGGCTCTGTGCCTGTGAATGGAATTGGCTGTTTCAAAGAGCTGTTTGCAGAGGCAGTGGGATGGCTGTGGGCGTTCAAGCCAGACGCTTCCTCTCCAACCCCTCTCCTCCTGCCATGGTACACCTCGCTCCCTGCACTCCGCTCCTACTTGGGGTGACGGGAGATGAGGTGAAGCTCTCGCTCCAGTGATCAAAGAAGATGCTTCCCTAAGCTGGTTCCACCAAGCAAGGGAGGGAGCTATGTGGGATCTATGTTCCTTCTATAAGAGTTTTCCAGGGAATATGATTAAAACTTATCTGGTCTGGTCTCACACTGTGAGCTAAATTTTTTTAAAGTTTTGATACATACAAAATCTGAATTGTTCTTCAATTTTATCTATGTTCTAAAAACAACAACATGGTGAAGTGAGATTGGAAGCAATGAGAAACCATCCTGGAAGAGTTTAACACACAAAAATTTAGGTCAGTTGTACTGATATAGGTAGAATATGTCTTTGAATTTTACTGTAGACTTCAGGTTGCTTTTTTTCACGAGTGGTTTACCTATGCTTCTGTGCTTACCATCTAAGTACTGTGAAGCTCCACTCTATCTGGGGTCTAGGTCTTTCATGCCTATAATCTTCCAATTCACCAAAGCTCAATGCACACATTTAAGTCATTTCAAAGTAATTTAACCTTTTTCCACACCTTGGTTTCTTAAGAAGACAGCAATAAAGAAAAAACATACTGTGATTGCCTGATGTCTGCAAGAGCTAAAGGGCTGCAGTATCTCTCATTCTCAATATCAAACATGTGGACCTAGGCTAATGAGTTTTCAGGATTCAATTTGGAACTGTTTCTATCTTCCAAATTAATATACTCAGAATATATAGATCATTTAGATATGCACACACACATATATATGTATGTGTGCACATATGTACATGTATATGTAACTTTACATCAATGTACATATGCATTTACACCTAACCGTTAGTCCTATGTAATTACTATCTCAGTTCAGTTACTGGTTTCTGTTAATAGCTCTTTTTATACTATTGCCAGGCATCACTATTTTCCAAGCGGGTTATCTCCTGAGAGGACTTTACAAATCATCCAACATGAGATGTCACTATATTTCAATCAATAAACTTGTACCACGTTCATGTTAGCGAAAGATCTTGCAGCGGCTAAAACCATATACATCTGTACAAAGGATGGTCTGAAAAACAAAGCTAATCTTGTTTATTGACAGAGTTCAGTTCTGAAAAAATGGTCTCTTAACAAATCATTTGGCTAAGATACTTTGCAGAAATACTGCCACCTTCGTGAAGGAGTTTTTGAGGTTATTCATTTCTACTCTACGACTGCAACTCCCATTTTTCACTCAGCAGCACTGTCATTATTTTCTCCACACGTAGCTTCCACCGAGAAGCTAAGGGGAAAAAAACAGAGAGAAAGTATTTGTCATGACATACCTGTGCTCCCCTTTCCCTGCGGCTGGCTACTTTATATTGGCAGAAATCTGAGAGCTGTTTCTTCTCAGTTCCCTTCTATAGCTCCCCTCCCATGCCACTTAAGAAGCCCTCCCTGGAGCCTGCTAGAGCTAGAGCTTATTATTTAGAAATTCAGAGCTAAATTCTCAGTCCTTTGTGCACATGGAAAATCTGGGGAAAGGACAATCATACCTGAACATCCTGCAACGCAGAGAACATCATGAATCCCCTGAGCTACAAACAGACGAACAACTAAACGTTTCACAATACTCGCAACAAGCCTTGGCTTAGGAAAACTTGACTTCTGCCTACACTCAAGCGAGTTCTTTCTAGTTTCTGAATAAACCCTTTCCCTACTCATGCACTCAGAGCAGTCTCCAGCATAATTATTGTTTCAGTTGCATTCATGAGACCATTTTAACAAGATTACATCAAAAGTTATTTGAACATTTTTTAGGCAGAAAGGGAGATACAAGGTCAACTGCTTGCTTTCTTCTCCTCTCAGACCTTTGTTCTCTATTACCATCTCTTAAATAGACACACTTCACTTTTGATTGCCTGAATTTGTATGGATCTGAAGTTATTTTATTGACATATGAAAGACGTTGCTTCTTTTATAGCCTCCATATATAAAGGAAGCCTGAGAGTCCTAGGTTTTGAAAGTCAGTGAGCTGAAAGCACCTTTCCTCATGCATATTGGAGAACTGTGTTTTAACTTCAAGAAGGTGCATTATACAGGGTTGTTGTACCCCCCGAGCAGCTCAGCTGAACACTACCGCTGCGAGCAAAACCTGTGCTGATGATCACCCCTGTTCAGGTCACTGAAAATTTCCACTGCAGAATAAGACAAACACTTAGGTCTTTGGGATTTGCATCATGCAGCAAAAGAACATAAGGTTCACGCATTTCCAGGTTCTCTGGTCAAAACCCCACATGGAGGGTCAAGGATGCTCTGAACGATGACGTTTTGATGTACAAGATCCCAGCTAGCTGGGATGCTCATCTTCTCCTCAGCCTCCTTCCCTGTGCTGTCTGGGAGGCACCCAGGAGCAGTGTGGTACCCAGAGCCTTCACCCCCTTCCTATCACCACAGGAAAATGGTAATTCTTTAGAAGAGAGCACTAGTAATCTGCATCTAAAGCAAATTAAAAACCCGTCACTGACTGGAAATTCTGAGTCCCAGCAGGTCTGTTTGTAATCGTATTTACACTGGAGTGGTTCCATTGGCCTCTGGGAAGCTAATCCTGATCTACAAATATGAAAATCAGATCGAAATCTAGAGCCAAGCTCATATTTTATTTTAAGATTTGCTGTTACAAGAGTCTGAAAACAACCACCAGACTGCTCCCATTAAATCAAGCTGTCAATGATTTACACCATTTCAATTAACTACAGATATGCCAAGAGTATTGAAATGTAAACAGGCATTTAAAATAATGTTTCCCATTATTAAGCAAGAACTCATGGGATTTTTAATTTCAACCTTGGGGAACACATCCTAATTCAAAGTGATGATTAAAAAAAATCCAAGAATACTTAGCTCAGTCTGAGAGAGGCAGCACTGCAAAGGGCTGCTCTCCAGTGCCCACTCCTTTTTATTTGAACATTCAGTCTCCACCAACCGGTATCCTGGCACTGGCACCAACTGCTGATCATTTTAAAGGGAAAAAAATGCTAGGTTTTATTATTCATCACAAGAAAAAAAAGAAAAATAACATGCAGGGAGAAATCAGGAAGAATATTATTATGGAAATAGCATTTTAGACAGTTTGTAAGACATCTGTCCTACTGCAGACACAAAGTTATAAATATTAATATAATATTCAACGGGAAAGGACCAGGACAACTCTAGAAGCAGTTACTGAAAATTTTCAGTGTTATGCAAGATATCTCCTAGAACAAGGAGAAATTATTTGACTATGCTTCTTTTACAAAGAGATGTGCAAGGAGGTGTTCCCAGAGAACAGAAATGTTCACTACCAGTGGAGGCAACAGCTCCTGAAACAGCAGGAGAGGAGCACTGGGCAAAAGGTTTTCCAAGAGAAATAAGTTTTCAATGAAAAATTCAATTTCACTCAAATGGGAATCTTTCTTAGAGAGGCTCTAATTTTTTCCTTGGAATTAATTCATTAAAATTTCCACCTGAAAAGTAATTTTCCACAAGGCCTGAATGCAAAACTGGACTGTGTCAAAGCGTGAATTAGCATACGAAAGGAATATCCTGAAAGGTGTAACCTTTCAGCAGAAACCGGTTAGCTTTTCACTTTTCCAGGGTTTTTTTTGCAATGTATTCTGTACGCTGTGTACTTTTTCTGTCTGCGCCCTTCACTGCAACTGTGGCTTTGGGGAACTCACCAACAATCTTTGGTTCCCACACATGTTGTAATACTACAGGATGAAGTGCTTGTGGAAAAGTGAGAGAACTTACATCCTTCAATGAACATATTTTCAAAAAATGTGCATTTTAACGGATTTGTAGATAGAAGATCAACACAATGTTACATATGTGCTTATCTGGAAGCACTGCATACCGTTCAGCACAGCAGTTTCCTCACAGAAGGAGAGTAAGCATCCCATTTTTGACACTTGCATTAAACGAAGCGCCGTATCTTGTCAGAAGTCTTCAGATCTTCAAACATATTAGGGGGCAGAGATAGTCTCCTGGTACAAAAGTGAAAGGCTGCGTCAGAGCAGCGCAGGGAGAGAGCATCAAGTTCAGAAGATCCTCTGGAGAACACGTAGCATGGATGTGTTAATTGCAGAAAATACTGATGGAAGGAGCTCAGCCAAGCTGAGCTGCTGAAAGGAGGGAGCCAGGCTCTCCTGCTGGCCAGGACACAGGTGGCATTAGAGCAGCTCATTCATGGCCCCAGGTGACCTGTTTTCTGTGACTGCAGCATTTCCTAGAACAGCTTGTTGTTGCTTATGACTTTAATGATGACTATCTGTCCCCAAATAACACTGCAGGTTTTCAGGAGTAGGAAGGGAGATAAAATGTTTTTACAAAAGTCACAGGGGCAAGATGAATCCTCTACTGGGCACCCTATTGAGTGGCTTCTGTCAGCAACTTAGTCATGTATTCTTTTCTCCTCTCCTACAAGGGACTAGCAGTCTTTTGTCTCTGCATGAACTACTCCATGGTGATCTGTCTCAAGGATGTTTTAAGCACCTCAGAGTACACCCCCCGGAGCTCGCTCTCAGGATATGCAGATGGTGCCAACATCACTCTTGTTGCCATATTCCTGAGCACCTCCAGGTGCCTATTAGCACAACTCCATTCAGCCCAGGACTGCTCCTGACTGCAGTCTGTATTTCCACATGAGCCCTGCGGCAGCTGTAGACACATGATCAGGGCTGCAGAACACAGCCAAGATTTACCCATCTCTCCCATGAAAACCTGGAATAAGTCAAAGCCCACAGCCTAATTGCTAAAAAGACACTAGGGATAGGTGACAGAGAATAGGTGACCTTTTTCTCCATTTAACCCATCTTAAGGAAACTGTCTCAGCTTCCAATTTCACACTGAAGAGCTTAAAATTAACAACAGACGTGAACTACATTTTTCAGGGGGATCCTAGAGCCCCTCGCCTCAGAGTACTGATGGGAATGCTGCAAGTACCAACAATACAGAATCAAGAACTTCCACAGCCCCACCCTGGCTGCCCTTCCCCACTTCTGCCTGCTCTTCAGCCTCCATCTGTTTTTCAGTAAGTTAATTTACAGTTTCAAACCTCTTTTCTCCTGTGGAGGCTCCAGGGCTGGGATGGAAGGCTGAAGCAGAACACTTGGGGTTTTTCTGAGGACACTTTCATGGTGACACGGCCAGATGACAAGACAAGGCAGGGCAGAATCCGAGTGGCAAGGGAAGGGTTATAATCCCCAGCACTATGGGGTAGGGTGAACTATTTCCCCTCCTTTGCACTGCTATTAGGCCCTGCTACACAGATACTTTGATTTTAAAACCTCTTTGTCTGGAAAAACTTTTTTTTTTTTTAAATGTTTACGATCACTCCAGCACAGATGAAAACATGGCAGGGAAAGCACTGAAGTTTTGTTTATGGATTACATAATTAAAGTTTAATTAGCACTATTTAATTATGGATTATAATACCTACTACTATTTAAAAAAAAAACCTCAAAATAAATAAAACCCAGCGAACCTATAGCACCACATATCAGATGCTGTGCTGTATATGGTCTGTCTAATAAGCTGTTGCAGCATTCTAGGAAGATTTCTGCTGGGGAAGTAACATACATCTGTAGCAGATACACATTCACTCTTTAAATTCCATTTGTTTATAGAGTTTTTCTCTGTTTCATGTAACCATTGGTTAGGCTGTCATTTTTCCTTCCTTAACTTTGCTTTCAAGGTGTAAGAATTGCTAGTTATTGTAGTTGCAGTCACACTTTTATTTATATAACTAGGACTGATTTTAATGATGTATTCCCAGAATCATTTCTCCGCTCCAGATGATTCTCCTTCACCTGCAAATATCCTCCTGTGCATCCTTCCATTGCAAGGCAAGCTCCTTGCCAGCCAGGGTCACCCCATGCAACACAAAATTTTACTGCTCCTGGGTGCTGCAGTTCCCTCCCAGGGGGCTGAATGACAGGCCATCAGCTTTACAGTAAAAGAAAAAAGGGAACAAGGCACCATGGGAGCTATTTAAGCATATTCATCAGACTATTCAGTGTTGCATAGAGTTGATAAATGTAAGTGTAGAGCCTTCCACTCTATGGTACTTAAGATGAAAATGAGGTCAGTGGTTGTGGTTTGTGGATTTTTATTGATTTTTTATTTAATATATTATTTGTATTCTAGCTAACAAAGCAGATCATAAAGCTCAGAAAACTTGGTCTCCAGAGGCCAATTTACAAAGATACAAATACATTTTGTTTTGGATAAAAAGTATTCTTTGGCAAACTGGCTTCCCAGAACAAGATGGGCTTCAATAAACTAAAGCAAGTCCAGTGGAAAGTCCCAAGAGGACTCATAGGGTCACAGCACATGGCGTGCAAGAAGAGGTCAAGGGAAGTGTCCAGTCTGGAGCAGCCAAACAGGAAAATTGTACTGTTGTCCTCTACTACCTAATGTGACAGCACAAGAGAAGACAGAGGCATTATTCTTGAAGATGCACAGAAGGACAAGAGGAAACAGACAAGCTCCAGATGGGAAATTCCAACTGTATATTAGAAAAAAAATTTGCAATCATAGTAGTGAAACATTAGAATAGGGCCCAGAGAGGTGAAGGATCTCCATCTTTGAGCAAGGCCCTAAGCCACTCCTGCCTTGAGCAGGGGAGCTGGACTAGGCAACCTCTCCAGAGGCCTCCTCCCATCTATTTTCTGTGATGAAACACAAAATCTTGCTGTAAAGACCCACTGGAAGGTATTTTTAATTATAATAACCAAAATATATACACAATAATGTGTATTTTTACATATACCAAGAAAAAAAAAATTCTGCATTTCAAAATTCATTTACTGCAATAACAGAGGTAAATAGTCAGTAGTAAGGTTTAGTCACTAATATTAAGAAAAGCCACAATCTGCATGTAAGTTGAAGCCAGAGGAAAGCTACAGATGCTCAGTATTCAGAGACATGAGTTCAAAGGATTTCATACTACCCAAATCATCTCAACCTCATTACATGAAAATGGAGTCTGGATTGTAGGTATGGACCTAGATTATCATCTAGCAGCCGTAAGCTTCAGATTCCTCTATTTACATTAACTGTTTTGAGATATTAAATTGCAAGATCAAGGTAAGTATTTTAGTTCTCATAACTGCAGTCAAGTTTCACTAAAATTACCTTAATTACCAGACCAAAATGTTATTTTAAATTGTTATTCATTTCAGGAGATGTGAACACTGAACTAGCTGTAACAAACTTCTAACATTTTCAAAGTCAAAGGTTCATTTTTACTTAAAAAACTCCACCATAAAACTCTTAACAGAGGCTTAAAAAGGTCTTTATAAAATAATCTCCATCACACTTACAATAGTAAGAAAATTATTCTGGTTGCTAATATTTAGTAAATATGAACTGGTTTGTGCAATCTGTATTAAAGACGGTTATAACTACAGTTCACATTTTATTTTTAAAAGGTGGACCAACAAATGCGTCAAGAAAAGCAGATTATTGCTGTTTCTCAACAAGTCTTTTTTAATAAGGACATGCTACCTTGATAGGCAAAGCATGTTTGACAGTCAGCTGAGACGGGACAGCTGAAGGAGAGAAGTAATCATTTGTGTGCCAAAAACCACCTCTTCGGCGATCACCTTTCACTTGGCAACTGCACAATTAAACTGATTTAAGATCAAAAGCGTGTCATTCCATCCATCTCTTGAATGACAATGCTGATCATCTCAAAATTTAAGTTTGCTTGAAGTGACACAAGAAGGTAGAATCTCAGCAAGTTCTGGACTGGCAGAGAAAAAGTCTGACGCTTATCCTGTCATCTGTAACTATGAAAATACTAGATGTTCTTCAAAGCGTTTTTCACCAGGTCTGTCGGAGCAATAGGTATGGCTGTGCAGAGAAAACAGAACATGTACATATGGGAAATATGAAATATATCAAGTTTTCTATTCCTGCAGTAGTACTAATAAAATTAAATATGCCAACATACAATTGTAAGATGACTCAAAAAGATCTAAAAATCCATACACATTTTTCATCAATTTTTTAATACAATAAGCTCCTGAAATATACTTTTTGTGGACACAAATTGGCAATTACAATTACAAACAGAAAGAGCTCACAACAACTGCTCATAGGATTCGTTCACTGTACATTTTCATTAGCTACTAGATTCTTTAACTTACAGTAATAAATTATCCTACTCTAAATAGAGATAGAAATAAAGATGCAATAGTTTATAGATCTGAGCTTTAATATGCTGGTGCATTCTCCCCCTCACCAAGGCCCTCTAAAGAGAGCTGTAAAAATAATATATAGAGTGTATAGTGACTTAAACAAATCTTCTAGCCAGCACAGTGAAAGATACTCCCGTGAATCTAATATTAATAAAAAGAGTAAGATGCTAGTGGTGGCTATACTTCACTAAAGAAGGACAAAATTCTCATTTGCAAGAGTCATTTAAAAAGTCTCAGTGTTTTCAGTTCCCTTTCAACCAAGTAACCAAAATAGATACAGGAAATGAAATTTCCGATTTACGTGTTAAAGTTGTCCCAAGCACTTCTTTACATTGTTTACATGAAACCCCATATCACTGCTTCACAGAAAACAGCTTCAAGACCATTGAGAAGAGTTAAATCAAGTCAGTCATACAAAGCAAAAGTAGAACTCAGAGGTTTCAATAGCATTTGTAGTGTCTTAGTAGTGAGTAGAAGCAAACAGGTATTGGTAGCTACTCACCAATTTTAAGTGCAACAAATTCTTCTCAGAAGTAGTTTTAGCTAAGATAGTTAATGCTACTGACTTGACTTAGTTAAGAGTAAGTTACCTGTAGATGTCAAAAAAAACCTCCCAAGACAGAACACTACAGTAAATTGCTGTGCATCAGTGACCCTCCTCTTTGCTTCAGAATTCATCCTCCATATGATGAAGCACAGCAGCCACCTTGGTTTTCTTAAAAGCAGAAGAGGGACTGTCTGGCCAACTCCCTCCCTCTCCCCAAAAGAAAACAATCAGGTAATTCAGACCAGAGGTAAAACTGAACATCCAGCTCCTCCTTTAGCTTGCCTCTCTGCTACATTTTTATCTGCTCCAAAATTATCACAGTCCCCAAGAAGTTAAAGGGATCTGCACTGGCCAATGACACCCGAGAAGAAGCAAGCAGGCTAGTAGATCCTGTCTTTCCCTCTGCTGGCAGAAGACACCATGAAATTAAACTGGACAGCAAGAGGCAGCTCTGCACATCAAAGCAGGGAAGTGGTCAGGACTCAGCATTCAAATCAATTAACATGAGAAGTATGAAAAGGGAGCCCAGAGCTACCTTTGGCATTTACTCTTTCCCTTGAGCAGCCCACAAATAGAGAGAGGCTGTTTCTTCAGATAATCTACTTCTAGATACGTAGATGAATGTTGCTGTCATAGGCACTGCTGGATAATCCATTACCTTCACAGTGCCACCCTTCACATTTGAAGGCCTTAAAGGAAAAAAACAGAAACACCACATTCCAACCCTACGTGACTACTGTCTGGAACACTTGGGGAGAATTTTCCTTTGGCCTACCATGAGACTTATGCAGTAATATTTTACACAGCATATGGAGAGACATTTCTTCTCATGTAAAAAAGATCCTAGTCTTGTAGTGTGCAGCCTTCCCAAGATACCACTTGTCCTTAAGTGCATCCCAGTGGGCCGTAATGGCCCTCCCATTTAAGCCTATGGGATCTGAATCCTAGTCTCAAATGCTGTTCAGTAAAACAAGTGCTGAGAGAAGTTTCAAGCAATTCCTAATGGTACTACCATCATGCAGACTTTCTTGACTGCGCTTTGTTGCGTGACATCCTGCTAAACCGCCCTCCAGCTGGGTAGTTCTCAAAGAAAAATAGAATTATCCCATGTCTGCTGAAGCTAAGCAACAAACCCACTTTTATCTTTGTGGTGATAAGTTATCACACCCCATCCCCTCTCAATGAGACTGAAAGTTATATCTGTAGCAATAAGGTTCATATGATTTTACCCTACACGGTTGTAAAGAACTGAAAGCAGAGAAAAAATTCTGCACCTGACTTGAGACTCTGCATAAGCCTTTGTGATAACTGATACACCACTGCCAGAGCTGTGCAGCCAAACAGTGCCTTTTTCCGATTATTTGACCATGCTTTAAAAACCACATTTGATCAGCTATGACATTTCATTTCAAAAAAAAAGATGTTATCAAGCGTCTTTTAAGGAGCATTCTGTTACAAAAGACTACTACAACTGTGCGGTAGCAGTTAAAGATATGTAGAAAATTCCTCTGAAATGTCAATAATTTCTCTTCACACTGGGTATTTATGTACCTTGACATTATCAATTCTTCTGAAAAAATGGAGAAATACAACAGAAACTATCTTGTTGTACGATTCCAAAAAGGCAAGGTGCATATTTCTTTCTCCTTGCCTCTCAAAAGAGAATATAGTCTTTTCTACAACATCCAGTGATGCAAACTGGTATTATACAGATCCTCAGGTAGGAAACACACATATTAAAATAAAAATACCTGCAAGTACGTTTCAGATCCAAGATACACAATTATATTGTGTATTTAGTTTCTTTTCAAAAGTGAACCAACTTCCATGCTATATCATTTCACCTGTTCTGCTGAAATACTTAAACTACACAAAGATAATAAAATACTGACATATACAGAGGTCTCATTCAGTAATTTATCAACACCAAAATTTAACACCTTCTTAGGAGACAAGCAACTTCTGTGGCATACATGTGCACCACTGGTGAACCGATACAACACAGCACACTGTTGGTGTTTAATCTACTGCACTGTAAATGAAGTTTCACCTTATCTAATATTAGCAACTTTTCCTATACTTGAACATTCACTGAACAACTAAACTGAGGGAGAAATGTCATAAAGAGAGATCACATTTTTTGACATATATGTAATGGCAATTATTATCCCATAACAAAACCTCTAACATCAGGTATCTTTTGGGAGTGAAGGAGAGAACTTGAACACTTCCCCTGCATTTAAGTCTTGAAGTTGTTTTTGCAATCAAAGTGACACTCTGCAGCTGCCTGCTTCATAATGTAAACTTCAGAGGAAAAAGGGAAAGTAAAGACATCTAAATTGCAGCTGAATGTGATATATGAGTACATAAGTTATATTAGGACAAACTTACAAATTCACGTTTCTATACATCAATGCTGTGGCTGCTCAGGATTGATATTCATAGTCCTGTATATTTCTTTGAGAAACAGCAAAGCAGTGTCTTCAGATCCCCTATGAAGAAAGAATGAAAAAAAAAAAAAAAAACCAAACCAAAAAACCAAACAAACCAAAAAACAATGGGTTATTTTAGTAGGGTCCTTGTTTTGGTTCTCATAACCCACACTTCTTACCAATTCAGCACTCTAAAAGTTTGCATAACCCTAGCACTTACCTTTTGGGAACATGTCCTTACCACTACTAACTTCCTTCAAGCTACAATTCTTCATCTGTTTTGCATTATTTCTATCAGCCCTAGCCTATGCATTTGCCTTTTTTATTCCACGTTTTCCCCCTACTCTGTCCTCCCTAACTTACTATGCTACAGCTCACAATCCCCTGCTCTATCCACTTTAATGTTGCTCATTTGGCTTAAAACTCAAATAATCTATCACTTTTTGTCTGTAATGGGCTCCTGAATATATTCCATCAAGAATACATTCTACTTGTCAAAGCTTTCTTCCTTTACTTGCTCCACTGCATCTATTAGCCCGATGTCAAAACTCAGCCCTGCCAGTTCTATCAGCAATATTCTAATTCTTCTCTCGTAAGTGCCATGGCTGGCACTTTCTAGTAAACAGAATATACCAGATACCCATAGACTTCCTCTCCTCCTTACCACTAAAAAGTAAGAAAGTTCTCAAATAATTTAAAGATTAAGATAATTCAAATGCCATGTTTTGAACTTGCTGTTTTCCCTCCTGTTTACAAAATCAAACCTTCAGGCTATCTGAATTTAACATGAACAGACTTTTCTTATTCATCTATAACGTGATTTAAACACACATAAACAATATCCATTTAAAAGAGTAACAACCATTGTAAAAAAAGAACAAACAGGCAAATTTTAAGAAAGCTCCAAAGCTGCAGGAGTTGTTAGGTAAGGGTAGCCCCCTGTGCTTTTTAAAAGAAATAACATAGGAGACAGTAAAGGCAATTTAGACAGTGAGAACTGTGATCCTCCAAATGTGAGGAACACCATTTACAGAACACCAGTACAGAGTTAAACGTGCAAGTTAAGGGACTACAAGTATTTTCCACAATTAAGCATAGAGATAGTAACCATATTTCTTGATGGTCTCCCCTATTAAACAAGCAACAAGCAAGCAGAAGGATCAACACAGAAGCTCTCTTCTCTCTTACACACAGAGCATTCCATTTAAGGCTTCCCCCACCACCCCCCTCAAAAAAAAAAAACAAACAAAAAAAACAAAACCACGACACCACACCACCAAAACAACACACTCTCCTATTTGGGTCATTAATCATCATGCTTATCTTCCTGACCTGAACAACAAAAAAACACAAAAAAGCTATGGGTAGCAAGTTTTTAAAAACCTGGCAATGATCGGCTGCCGCCTTGTGGAAAAGAATTCCCCATTCTTTCAACCCCACTCGCAGATTGGCACCACCGCCACCGGTCCCCGACTGCTCAAGGAGCCCCGCTCCGGCAAGCACACGTCAGCACTGCAGCCCTGATAATCCCTCCTCCGACAGCTACTGATCTTTACCAACAGAAGCGATCCTGACTTTAATAAGATCCTTCAAGTAACGCTTTCGATTCCATATTTTAACCTCTGGAATGATGCCTGCTTCTAAAAGTTATTAGTTATTGAAATTCAAAGCCTTCAAAAATGATGTAAAGCACCCCTTGTCTGGCACTTGCTAAACTCAAAACAAGAGACTCATCACCCCTCCCTCCCCAAGAATATTTTGCACAGCTCAGCAACTGACATCCAAGCTTGCCTCTTACATATGAAAGTGTGCTATTGTGTTGTCAAATACAGTTTAGGTAACCTCTGCTCTGCCATTCTACATCCTATATATTTTCATATGCACTTAATTTTGACAGTAATAAAATGTATACGACATACCAAAGAAAAAAAGAGCACAACTCCTAAAGACAACGAGGTCAATAGTTACTGCTTTTCCTACAAATCTCCATTTAAAACATGTAAGCATTAAAAAAAGTAAATCCAAATCCGGGTAAGGCAACGGTGCACTGCGCTCTATGACACCAAACTCTGCTTCTTTTTCTATGAATTGTTCTGTATATGAGCAACCACTGTACAAGTGGTACATCACAAGCATCCAAATTCACAGGAAGTTCCACTGTGCCTTTTTTCTTCCTTTTTTTCTTTTTGTTAATCTTTGATAGCAGAATATCAATATCTAACCATTTCATTCCAACATTAAGAGCTAATAGTTTTACTCTATATTGTAGTCTATATACAATTCCTTCATGAATATTTTTATTTTAAAAACTTGTCAAAATGCTCATAGACGTCTCCTTTTGTTCTGAAAATTATTATAGCTAAAGATGTGTGTTTTGAGTATCAAAGTTCAAGAGAACAGCATGCCATGTCTTTATTATAACAGAACAATAGATTTGTTCACTTAGTGCTAACACAGAATTCTATTTTGGAATGAGATTAGCTAATAGTGACATCTAGGTGCAACACCTTGAGACTGACAATTCTGGGCAGTCATATATGATGTTTATTTTAATACTCAAATTGTTTCAATTATATAACATTTGACCATCCAGAGTATAAAAAAAATTTATCTTTCAAGTATGCCTGTGTGGGAAGGCATCTTTCCAAACGAGAGGCCACTTCAGAATTAAGTGGCAAGGACCTTGCATCCAACTCAGCGGTCATCTTTCCAAACATGGCAAAGATTACAAAGACCCAGAAAACTCTGGTCTCCTAAGTCATATGCATACACATCGACCACTGGAACAACTCCTACTCTGGTAGCTTTATAATTGGTTGGTCCTTTGCAATGTTTAACTTGTCAAATCATCAGCAGCCTAAAACAATAGATCTGGATATATAAACCCAGCTATTTTTGTCAAAATGTTCTTGAAGTGAAACACGAGGGCATGATTTGCAATGGAGATCACTTGATTTTTCATTATAAAAATGTTCATGACAGGAAACATGATTCTAGCTATTATCATATCAGTCACAGGTAAATAACAGACAATAGGAGTAAGATAAATGGTAGACATGTCATTACCAACATTTAAAGATATACAGTTATATCAGGAAAGCACTATTTATAGAATCATAAATAATTCCTCTTACCAATAGCACAAATGACTCTGTAAAGCAAAAAGGTATTCATTGAAGCTTTCTATTGGTTTTTCTTGTAGAACATAGTCAATACGACGTCCTCCATTCAGCATTCCAACCTTCACCAGAAAATCTTCATCTTTTGGAGGGTCTGGACTTTCAGAGATCTTTTCAGCTAAAATTAAAGAGTTCAAGATTGACACTATTTTCAAGTATAGCCCGCTTGACTATAATCAATAAATATCACCCATTTCCCCTGTGATAATTTCCAAGTGCTTGCGGTAAGACATTAAAAGCCTCGACTGACTAGCACGCCACTACCTAATTCAGAAAGGTTACTGGAACTATAGGCTTATTTTTGACAGTTTAAACAGAGTTTGTTTGAAGAATAGCTCACAAAGTAGTAGCTGAGCAATTTTAAAAACAAAACCCACTGTTTATACATAGACAGATCCAGTCATTCTACAAGCAAATGACCTGAAATAATATGTTTTTACATCCCCCTTGCACAGAGTTAATCACTATCCTCAATTTAAACTAGGAGGAATGTTTTTATTTTGTAAGTATAATCAAAGTCAGCATTACTAAACACCAAGAGGTGTTTAGTTTTCCACAAGTGGAAAGCCTGCCCATGGTATTGTTAGAGGTAATATTTATATCTGACTTAAGTTTATTTTCCTCAACAGCACTTTTTTCTGTTAGAGCATATACTTAAATGCTTCTGAGCTCATGCCAAAAGCTCAGCAGAACACTACTGAAGACAGTAAATTTTAAAAATATTTGTATTAATTTGCCCTGAAAGAAAAACACAACTGATTTAGAAACCTGCACTTCCAACAGAAATTTGAAAGGTTACACAAAGTCAAACCTAAAATATCCTTCAGTAGAAGCTGTTAATTTTTCCTTTCCTAAAAGACCAAAAAAATGCAGCAGTAGATATTACACTTAACATTAATACTCCAAAAGCACAGAGGCGTCCTTAACAGGGTCAGGAAAATCAATAGCAAGCAATCACTGGGTTACTCAAGTTTCCACTAATTTGAGATCGATAAGTTGTAAGAAAAATAATGATGTGTCCACATACCTTCTACCACTTGTTTCTCTTCTTCCTCTTTAATTTGGTTAGCTACTTTCTCCAGTTCTGCTTGTAGCTGAGTTGAAGATGTATGAGCACGTGCAAATTCGTTAAGAGTCTGCCAGGCACTCTTCAAAGAGCTAATAAAACCCTGTTTTAGATCAGATCCCATACGAGAGAGAGAGTCTTTCAACTCTAAGAAAGAAAGAAAAAAAGAGAAGTCATTAGGGACAAGGTAAAAGAAACCAGTAAATTTAGTTTCTGTTTCACATCATCTTAGAAATTGAGGTGAACAAGCGATGTACGATAATTTTAAAATGGAACTTGGGTAATTAAAAGCTCAAATCTGAGGAATTACAATTACTACATCTGAATACATTTATGAATGCCCAGCCTACGGGGCTGGGAGGAATCCCTTCTGATGTTCAGAAAAAGCATGGAGTCAGATATCCAGGAGCACTCATTAGTCTCTTGGAATTTTACAATATTGTAATGCATCAAATGAGTAAGTTAGGAATGAGGTCCATGTATGAAATAAGTTTTATTTTTACCCAGATGAAGTCTTTTTCTGCCTTTATGATGTGGAATGAGAACTGGCTTTAAATCGATGTCTTCAATGATCATCGGTTCTAACCTGTAAGCTACTGGATCAAGCTGTTAAGAAACAACACACTGACATTTAGTTGTATTAGAAATTATTCTTGTTATCACATTTCAGTGAAAAAAAAAATAAAAATCACTACTTATGATTAATAGAGACCCATTTTTAATTCTATTCTATTTCAGTTTACAGAAACTCAGTTCATGACCAGTTTAATCTTAAGATTAAGCAGGTTTATTAACTAATTAGGTCTTGTTCTCCTCCAGACAGACAGAGATTCTAAAGAGGAAACACTACAGTGGAAGAGCAGCACAGTACCTAGAATGGTAGGTATGGAACCTATAGCCAGCTGTACTTTACTTTTGCAATAAGGACCACAAATATTTGAAATATGTTTTTTTTTTTAAATGTTTTGGGAAATGTATATAGGGGAACAGGAGTTGTAATGCTCAAAGGTTAAAACTATTCTGCATTGCATATGCATCAACTTAAAATCAAATCTCAAAAGTACTGCTTACTCACTGGATGATAGATATTGAAGAATCCCTTGCAGGTAGGAAGTCTGTAGTTTTCATCTATCTTCTCCACACCCCTCACAGTAAGGAACACACCAATAGGAGAACCAAGAGCAAAGAAAATATCTGGTTCAAAGTCCAATGCACTGTAAGCCACAGAAACCTACCAGACAGAAATCAGATACGTGATCTCTCAGAACTGCCAGCTAGTTCATATAATGCTTAGCTAGGAAGGAGAAACAAGTTGTGTATTAAATCAACGACATGCTCACAGTACTTTCAGAAAGCTTCAGCTGCATTGCACTCTTCCATACTAATACCATAGTACTAGTACATGCTAGTACATATTAATACTGTAATATTAAAACCTTTTTTAAAAAAATTCAAAATTATTTAAAAAATTATATTTAAAATAGGAAGTCTTTGAGGTTTGGTTTTAAGTTAAATTTTAGGTAAAACTTAAATATAAATGGGTCAATTTAGGCTCCCATGTTAACTGTAAAGCCACAGACCCATTCAATATTATGTCATTCACACAGTTCTGCTTCTGGAACTCATGGCTGAAAGAAAAAAAATGAATTGTCATGGCATCCTTATTATAGGGGGGGTTGTTTTTCAGTAATCTAACCCACTCTCCCAGCCCTCCCTCCCTCCCTCCTGCCAAAGGGTAAAGTTCTATGTAAACACAACTTTTGCACAACAGTCAAGAGAAGTAGCACAAAGCCATCAACATTTACAAAATACCAAAACCAAGCAGAAGGACAGCACTGTTCCAAATGAATCATTTAAATCTATGTAGTCTCACCTGACCAGTTCCAATTTCAAAATACTCATAGTCAATGTTCACAGAAGAAACAGATGCACCAACTGGAAGCCTCCTCTTTGAGTGCAGCTGCCCAGACTCTGAAGGGGAGACAGAAGTAACTGTCTCTTTTGCCTTCTGGGCATCTTCTTGAGTTTGGAGTGTGGCAGCCAGCACTGCTTTCTTTTCTGCTAGTGTTTTCTTCTGTTCCTTTTGAGAAAAGTTTCAAAATCAGGAATAAAAAGGTTTATTTCACAGTTGTCAAAATTCCTTTAATATATCCATGATGTTAACAAGTGTGCTAAAGAACAGGAGTTACTCCTCAGCAAGACAGACAGTTACATTTGTTTAACAACTTTTTATTTCATTCCTGAAAAACATATTTACCTGCTTGGCTGCTCTATCTTTTACAAAATTAGCTATTTTCTTTCTTGGTCCAAGAGGTATCCCCATTTCCTTCAGATCATCAACTGTGCACATGAGCTAAAAATAAACAAAAAACAAACACCACATACACACATCAAAGCGTACTCTGTAACTTTTCTAATGACATATATACTTATTAGCAATGACATGAATTAGATAAGACATTTTATAAAGCTACAGAAATTACAAAAATTTAAAAAGACATGATACAAAGTGCCTTAATGTAACTGGGGAGGGATACACCACACCAAGAAGAAAAGAGAGTCACATAATATTTAGTCTTCACATCATGCATTAATTACCTTACCTTTGCGACTGCTTTCATGCCTCGGTACACTAACCCCATAAAGAAAAGAAAAAAACAAACAAAAAACCCCACCACCAAACATAAACCTCCATAAACCTGGGAAATCCCCATAAGTCAAATGAACGTTATTGTACCAGAGATTCCATGTCAATTCGCTCCTTTTCAAATGTGCTTGCATACTCCGACAAGCTAAGCATTTCCAGAGTCTTCTGCAAAGTAGGAACATCATCATCTGCTTCAGGCTCACAAAGGTCATCACCAGAAGTAGTAATTGAGGAGCCCAAGGAACTGGTATCTTCAGTCATCTTAAAATAGCACAGAAACGGAATCACATCATCTAACAGCGAAAAGCCAATATGCAGCAAGTAAAACCGAGTTTACTTACTTTCACTTAAAAACATTATTATATAAGCTTTGTAAATTTATGCCCATTTTTAGTAAAGCAGAATACAGATTTTCCACTCGTAATAGACCAGCAAAATTACTGAGAGGCAAAATATTTTTGAGTGTTGGAAAGCTCAAGAAACATTTCTTTTCAATCAAACAGCTGGTCACTGTTTCTAGCCTGAACACAGAGATATGCTTTCCCTCTTACGCATCTCCCCCACCATTCAGTCAGTGTAAGACCAAGTTACGTGTCCAAAAGGGTCAAAGCTGATGTTCATGATCAAGTCACATCACTGGCCTACTTGGAACTTGAGAGAGATGCAAACAGTTTGTCCTGAGAACTGACAATACTTACAGAACTGCATTTCTCCATTAACATGTTAAAACGTACTATTAAAACCCACAACTGTGTTTCAGCTAATTAATTCTGAAAACTTAAGAAAAAGCTACTGAAAATATCAGGCCTATTTGCCAGGAAAGCCTAGCATGCAAATTACCTGTTTATCATGAACAGCCACGTCCTTTACAGTCCCATTAACACCAGAGAACGGTCCACTACTTACTGATGAAGCCAAGTCCTTCTGGTTAGAGAGTATGTCAAATAGAATTAAGGAACCTGGAAATAAGAATTAAAACTGCCTTGGGAAAAATGTCAGATTTTCCTGTCCCTAAGTCCCAAGCCAGATTTATATGCAATAGCAACATATAGATTGATCACAAAAAGATGGCTGAATTAAAACTAAAACACCCACATACTAACTTGAACACAGTCACTCTCAGCAAAAAGCAAACCTTTTCTCCCCCCCCGTTCATACTTTATGTCGTTGCCACGACTAAACTGTCTTTCCTCAACCATCTTAGGCTGCTTGCCAAACTGAAGGAAAAGTTCCAGTCCAAATCAGTATGTCATATGTCGTTATAACACTTATTGTACATTCCAAAAAATGATCTTACTTTTACTAAGTGGAGGTTCTGAGACACAGAAGTTACCCACCTAACAAGACACCAGATAACCTGTCAACTTTCAAACACAAATTAGACACCAAGCCTTCATGAACAAAACTAACGGGGGAGAAGGGAGAATGCACACATCCACGAAATACAAACCTTCTCTCAAACCTTTTTAGACTTTGTTATTGAGAGGTGTTTGACTTAGCTGTATTCTGAAAGACAGCCATGCCCTATCAGCTAATTTTAGCCTTATGCTTAACGAAGGTTCCATTTCCCTTAGCAGAGGAATGCTGGTTTCATCCCAGATCAGTTCCTTAGATAATTACCTAAACTGTGCCCAGCCACAGAGACTCCTCCTTTGAAGTCTGGGTTGCGACTCATGAAAAGTGCATGCAAACGATTCATTTCCAACCCCACTTTATCCACAATGGTCTGACAGTAGGTGGGGCTGTTGTAGAACAGTACGTCAAGGAGTGTTTCATTGGTGAAGTGGCGCAGGCGTCCAATGCTCGGCAAAGTGATTTTTTTTATGTTCCTGGTAAGACAAAATCATTAGAAGCATGAATGTTTTTAAAGAAATGCAGATAAGAACTTCATTAACTACTGAAATGACGGGTGGTAGAACTGCAAGGTAAATACTACAGATGCGGTCTCTACAGACATTAAAAAAAAAGAAACGTATAGCCTTCTGGCCTCATTGCATATTCATACATACTGACTGTACATATTTGAAATATAGAGCTCCCTTTTTTCTCTCTGGGCTGAAGGGAAGCCTGAAATAATCTCTTCTCTGTTCCAACACTGCTCTCATATAATTTTGTGAGCAGATCAGACAAAGTGGAAGAGAAAAAGAACTCACATATAAAAACTGAAGGTGAAATTGAACTAACAGGCAACATAATACTCTCTTTTTGAAGAAAGCTTGGCATCACCATCTGCCTGCTGGGAGTTAAGACAGCTGCAATAGAATTGCTAGAAAACTGACACTGCCTTAGTCAGCATTGCCTGGTCTGATTAACAGAAAAGGATCCTTCCTCACGATAATGCAGTGTTCACATGGGAATAAAAGACTGAGACTCTAGGAAAGCAGTATGACTCGACTGAGCTAGAACAGTCTGGAGTACACCAGTACATGTTCTAAGTGTACAGACTGCTACCCTCACAACCTCTACTTCCCCACCTTTGAGTAAGAAAAAGCAGCTTGAAATGTCAAAAAACATCAAAGGGATAGGCACCAAGAAGTGATTCTAAAACAGATTTTAAAATGCTGTTACACTCCTACCCAAATATAGATACTTTGTTTCAAAAAAACCCAACAATTTTAGCTCAACTGACTCATCATAATTCAGATACTACTCTAGGCCTGGACAGAAGGCTCAATGCCTTCCTCAGAAAGGGGACACTGACATCTCCTAGTGTCAGACTCAGACTGCAGGAAGGTACAGGAGAGAAAACTTTCCACTCTAAATTGTACATATCTGCTGCTGGACAATTCATCTCCATGCTCACCACCTCATACTTCAATCGCTATCTCTACACACTGACTCATCATCATGTATCAATGCATTAGCCATTTCATGAAAATGCGGTACTGAAAAAGCGTGTGTGTAAATATCCTGTTACTCAGGGTCATGAAAATAAACAAGAAAATACTCCACATACATTTCCAGTTTTTCTTATACTCCTCATCAAAATGTTAATTTTAAAAAATTATCAATTCTCTTTTGTAACCCAATCATTCTTCTAGTGTAAAGAACATATTAACTCCTCTTTTTATCCACTTTACAAAAAACGTTAAGATGCAGCTTGTATGAAGTTCTCAACATTAAACAATACACTCACCTGTCCACACCTGTTGCATCTCCGTGCAGAGAACTATGCCAGTGAACTGGGAGAAATTCCACCCTGCTCACTTTATGTTCCTCTAAAGATTTCTTAAAGTGAGTCTGCAACAACTTCAGAGAAACAGTTCTAAAATCATCAACTGTAAAGAAGAGCAGCAATAAAAATCTGATAGTAGCAACAGTCAAGTAAGACACAATTACAAATATTCTCCTTTTTTTTCCCCCCCTTCAATTTCAGACATAGTCAGAATACAAATGAAGGAAACTGCAAAGTAGAAAAATCTTTTCAAGTATTACTCCTCTAACTGTAAGAAAATAGATTTTTTTTAAAGTGGATTTTCTAGCAAGCTTCTATTTATGTCACAATGAATGAATGAATGAATGCATTTTTACTCCATGACCAGACATGGCCTTCTTAATTTACTCAGTTGTACTGTACTGTATTTAAAAAAAAATAAAAAAACACAAAAGCAAACAAAAAAAACACCCCACACAAAACACCACCACACACATAAACCACACAAAGCAAATACATACACCACCCACTACACACACAAAAAACCCCACCCCACACACCCTGAAACCCAAACCACTCTCTAAGTCTAACACTGAATACTAACAGTTAAAGCTGTAAGTCTGACAAAATACAGATTCTACTTTTGGAAAATAAAGAAATTCTACTAGAAATAGAACTTCTTAACATTAGAGACTTTTTTTTTTTTTTAAGACCTGCTTATCTGAATAGAAGATATAGAGACCAACGTTTAAACAGTTAAGAATACAACTGTTCATTAAACAAGCAAAAACTTACCACATTCAACAATGCTTCTAAATCTCAAGTCGCACACAGGCCCTATGCCATGAACCATAAATACTAGATGGTCAATTTGGGACATTTCTCCTGTAGAAAAAAAAAGAAACAATTCAAAGTATCAATATGTACTGCACTGGTGAAGTGCAGTCAAACAACTTTAAGATATACTTGCTTTATAAAACCTATTACATAACATGGCTCGGGACATAATATAGCCCACAGGACTCCTCTGATTACAAAAAAAAAACCCCAAACCAGATATTCCTTAATTTAAGATTCTTGAAAGAGGTTAACTTTAATCTTTGGACTCTAGGCATGAACAGTGCATTGTCACTATTGTCCAATGTTTGGGCAGAACCAAGCTGACTGCTCAAGCTCCAGACCCACATACAGTAATCACATACCATCAGGAATTTCATCATGGTCATCATCAATTCCACGTTTTACTACCCTTGGCCTTGCCTGACCATCTTGAGTCGTGCCCCATTCATCCGGTGTGGCAGAGGGTTGGAACTGAACTATGACCTGAAAAAAAAAAAATAAAAAAAATTCTCCAATTATGAACACAAAACAACTTATGATTTATACTATTATTCTGAAAGCACTGCATGGTTTAACACACTTTGTTTGATGGCTTTACCTTGCATGAGACTCAACTGTTTTCTTCAGTTACCATATATGAAAAAAAAAAAAAAAAAAAACTTCACTAAAACGAGACTCCAAAATAACACAGTAATTCTCATTAGTGTAGAAAGCAACCAGATGACTTAAACTAGTACCACTAGTTGAAGAAGCTGGTATGCTCAGTGATTCTTAACAATTTTAATGCCTCAGACAAGCATTATTCAAGCTCCTCTTTCCCAGACCCAAGTATCCACTCTGCCTTAGCAGATAACTGAGGAAACTGAACAGTATCCCTATTTACAATTACTCTATCATAAGGAAAAAAAAAGAAAATAAAAGAAAAAAGTGCAGTGCTTTTCAGGGAAGGACAACAAAGTTCAAAGTAGCCCAGAAACCCTAGAAAGTGAGGAATACAGTAATATGGCTGTTTGTAAGACTTACACTGACTCAGTATAGTCTGAACTCGTATTTATGACACCAAGAGGTTTAAGTGCTCCTTCTCTAGATTTTTACTGAACAGAACTCCTTAAATCCACCTTAAAGTGCTTAAAGTAGGAGTAACCATGATCCTCTCTGGCCCTTGGATTATTTTATTTATTTATTAATCACTGCATCTGTGATAAGCAAACAGTTAACAGCACTGGTCAATAAGGCTGAAGTCCATGTTTTACTCACATAAGAATGTTAGCAGAGTATTTAGAATAACTTTTAAAAGGTTCTTTTGCTGTACTCTCTCATGGCCTAAAAATAGCTGCAGTGGAAGTCGTCTCATGGCTTAGATACACAAACTAATTACTGTATAGCTAGATTAATGCTCTTCTCCACATGAAAGCTCTGTTTAAACTACCTTTCATTTGGTACAGACTGTCTGAGGTTAAACTAATTCAAATTGCCTCCCATTTGCTGTCAGTTACACTTAGTTGAAATATTTATTCCATAAACCCTTGCTCTCCTTAGGTTCCAGAAAGCATTGTCTTTTAATCATGAGACAGGACACAGAAGCAAGCAACGTTCTATGAAGTTTATTATATTTAATGCACGCATATCCAAAACAATCAATAAGTAGTTTCAAGCAAGACTAAGACTACATTCAATTTATGCTTACACCCATCTGCTCATTCACCCCTAATGAGTTCTTCAAAATCTGTTACCTTGGGATTATGCATAACAATTGTCTCCCCATTTGGAAATTCAAGTCGCCGGTGCCATTGATTCGTAGTTACAGCCCTTTTATATTCTGCCTGAAACAACAAACAAGTTACACAAAATCAGTATGACTTCTCAGACAAAATATTTTTTGGCTTTGTGCATCATTTTGTTATGTTAAGGCTATAGTTTACATAGCTTTATTTATATAAAAGTGTCAACCTGAAGCATTAGACAAACTGATTTTAGGTCATAGCGGTGCAGGACCTACGCATGAGCAATGCGGCCTTCTAACGACACCCCTTTCCACTATTTTCTTACTTATGTTCCAGAAAGTGCATTGTGAAAATCATTTTAATGAAACAAAGAACTACTTCCAAGGTCATAAATACAAGGATCTATCTAGTTCTTTGTGAAGTTTATGTAAAAGTAATACTAACCTCTAGCTTATCACTAAAATCCTCAGTGTAAGGAATAAACCGGCTATCCTTGTCTCCCTTATAAAACCACATGCATCGTCTCACTTCAGAAGGCTCTTCTTCCCAGTAGACAGCTTTCCTTATTCTGTCATACAGGTATACATCATAGCGTCCCCCGTCAGTGCTCAGAACCACACTCTCAGGATCAGGCTGGACTAGGACACAAAAATCAGTCCTGTTTACAATACTAACACATACAATCTTCTCTCTCAGCCCAGCCTCAACCACTTCTGTGATAAATATTAGGCCACTAAGACAGATAGTTATACCACGAATAAGAAGCTTCATAAAAACAGGCAGTGATGTTGCTCCTAAAATGCTTCTAAATGCTCTGTGCACAACAAAAGAAGCTTTGAACAACTCCCACATATAAATACTGAATCCAGAGCTGACAGTTTAACAAAAAGGCAAACCAAGACACAGATAACTAGTTCTATGTGAAATGTGATATCTAACAGGGATGTACATCTTCACATTGACAGCATCAAGCCACAGATAATGTAAGTGAAATAAATTAAATGGCACAAAATACATCTTTGAGATATGTATTAGCATTATTTATTACTGTCATATCACACTCTCAATATGTGAGTGGCATTACTCTAGTATCTTCCTTCTAGTCCTTCTGTTCTCCTCTGAGTAAGATATAACTTACCAGAATTATAGACTTCCTCTAGTTTTGCAGAATCCAGAATGCTAAATGGCATCCATATTTGCTTGTCCTCTACCTCCTTACAGTAGAACCAGTGCGGCTGAACTGGCTCATATTGGTTCTGCAGCAAAACAGGAGGTGCCTGAACCAGCGGACCTGCAGGCCGGGGAGCTCGGAGCTGTGACTGAGACGGTGGAAACTGAAAATACATACAGGCTTATCACCTCAATCTCACATAGTTTTTATACAACTGATCTATACTTCGCTACAGAGAACATTCTGGGCCTTTATTTCCAATGTTTTTTCCTCCCCAAGAACATTATCTTTTATTCTAAAAATGGTATAGACAAGTTGTCCACCTCATCATGTTTTTGAAAACTTACAACTTTCCAAATTGAGAAAGGATGTGAATTTCATTCCCACAAATACTGTTCAAAACTGTTGTGGTCTAGCACTTTGATTACCTAAAAACCAGTAAGATTTAAAACAGTCTCTTAAATTTTAAGACTTAGGCTAAGCTTATTTCTTACTGCCACCAAATTTGACATGACAATAAAAATGCATTCTTCTCATTATTCATTTATACATAATTACATTTTTGCATAAAGACTCCTCAATTGTAACAAGAGGCCACTTTAGAAATAGCTCTCTTCCCGCAAAGTGATCAGAACAGGCAGATTTCAAACTCACTCGTCACCTCAGCAATGCAAGAAAAGTAACTGATTTTTGAAAGGGACTATAGCATACATAAAGTAGATTTCATACAACGATCCCAGTTAGTTCTACTAAAAGCAAGCGATGTCAGCAGTAGCAACATTTAAAAAAAAACCCAAACTAATACATTGTATAATATATAAAATCAAGCAAACAGAGTTTTGAAATTATTTAATCTAAAACTCAAGATTGTTTAGGTTCTACTGCCTTTGCTATATTTTCTGTCATATAATTTTTCTATTCTTTATTCACAATAGCAGCAATATAGCAATAGCTCTGGCAAAATAAAACCAATTTTTGTTGTTTTCAAGGAAAACTTGTCAGGTTATTACTAACACGTTCACATTATTTTAATAATGCTTTTGTGAAGGTAAAAAAGAATGGAGATTAATGGTTTATATCACACAAAATCTCAACTGTTGCATTTCAGAGGGTTTGCTGACAATTTATGTGACTTAGATCATAATTTCAAAAAGTGCTGGCTTTGCCAGTAAAAACAGCTTGGAAAGAGATTTTTAGCCCATATCTTGCAAATGGCTGAATGACCTGATTTACAGCAGAGGCACAAACAATGCAGCAGCACAGCTGAAATGGCAAACTCAGTAACAGCCAGAAAAGAGCAACAGGACTTCACAACCTGGCTTTGTTTCTGATGCCAGAGGCTGCATGTAGTTACAGCCTCAGGGTAAACTCATTTCAAAGATCAGGAAGTTCTGCTAAAGCAACAGTTCCAGGCTAGTTCTAGTGAAAAGATTTTGCTATCAGAAACAATTCAAGACTTCCGTTTTTTTTGGGGGGAAAGAGAAAAATCTTCAGAAGAGAAAACATTCAAGTCAAAGAGGAAAGTGACTTCAATTGTTGTGTTCTGGTACCAGGACATTGGGAATAATTTATATACCTGTGTCAACGACCCCGGAGGGGTCTGATACATCTGGACAGGCGGCACAGAGGATGGTGGGTGAGGAGATGCATGACTCTGCTGCAGCTGTGGCGGAGTAAGGTATGGGTTCGCTCTGCTGCTCAGGGTGGTGTGTCGATAAGGGTTATACCCCTGCTGAGATGCTCCTTGGGGAAGAGTAGACGCATTTGCAGGCGGAGGACAGCTCTGCTGAGGAGTCGGATAAGCCGCGACTCCCACCTGAGAAGTAGGTGGTGCACCGTAAGAGGACTGGGACTTTGGAATGTGCGGTGAAAAGGCATTTTGCCCATCCTGTGACCCAGACCCAAGTGGAAGTGAAGTTGGAGGCCTGGAGAAGGCCGGGGCTCCAACAGGCGGTGCAACAGTTGTTAAGGGTGGCTGCCCAATGCTTCCGAATGGATCGCTGCTACTAGGTACTTGAGAGAAGTAGTTGAAAGTCTGTGGTGGATTGGGGCTGGCAGAAGTCTGACCCAAGAAGCTGTCCTCTTCACCAACATCTGCAGAATCATCTGCAAAAACAAAAAGATCACTAGAGATATTGTGAGAGGTTCACACCAGTTAGTGTATGTAGTCAAAATGTTCAGTAACATTATCAGCTACTACCAAAACTCTGTTGGTCCTCATAAAGCCAGAAGGATTACAAAGCTTACGTGTCCTTCATGATTAAACACATCATAAAATGAAAGAAAATATACCACGTCTTCAAGGATCTTTAAAACGGACCATAAAAGTCCCCCAGTGTACATAGACAAAGCAACAAAAATTAAAAATCTGAAACAGGAGACAAAAACATGACTGAAGTCAGGACCTTCCCAAGCCAACTTGACAAAGACCCCTGCTCCCAGGGCACTAAAATCTCTTCCAATTTCCTTTATGCCTACCAAATGCAAAAGCAGTCTTGATCCATTTCCTTTCACTATGAAAACAGTTAGCATAGGACTTCATGCTCTAATTTTTAGACTTCCAAGATCAAATTCAAAAGTAGAGCTTAACGACATCCCCAAATAGGCCAAACCTACTGGTTAACCAACACATTCTCGTCTGCTCCTTCAGCAGAGCCCTCGCAAGGTTTATCATTTGACTTGCAAGGTGGCCATAACTCATCACTCCAAGTTACTGGATAGTCAGGACTTACTCCAGTTCTCTCTAATAATTCTACTCTAGACTGGCACAAGAGCTAAAACTCTGGTGCAGAAAAATAAGTGGCCATTCCGCATAACTGCAGAAAAAGGTGCAAGGCCATGACTGCCCTTTTGCACTGAGAAAATAGATAAACCAGGTCCTTGTCAATCCCAGTTTTCTGCTTTGCAGTGATCTAATAACAAGTGGGAAAAAAGTGATTTGACATTATCATAGGTCTCACAGTAAGCTCAGTTAAACCTGTGATGGTCTGAGCATCACTGCCTATCTGCTGAGGGAACAGCACCTTGCAAGCAGCCAATGCCATCTGCAGAAGTCTGAAATGTGTTGCCATCTGCTCTAGCAATCAAATAATCCCCAGGCTGTGGGGAAGAAACCACAGAGCTATCACTGCTTCTCTGCTACTCAGTCCCCAGCCAAAGAAAGAGAGCAAGCAGCTCTGCAGCTACAAGCAGCCAGTAACAAGTGTCTTTATCTGCAGCCAACATAACTGTAATAGAGCATCAAGGGAGCAAAGGGGAATCCGCAGAGAAGTCTCCCTAGGAAGCTGCTGTTCTAATTAATTAATCATAAAAGAAGCAGCTGCCATGACTAAAAAGGACTATAAAACCACCTTTTATTTAGTAGTCTTTTCAGACAGTGTCAATTTGAGGCATCACCTGCACTTATCAAATTCTTTTACTTGCACCTATAGCAGTTTATCCTACTTTGAGGAACAAAACCAAAAATCTATGTGTGTGAACCACTGCGTGGAGAATACTAAAACCATTTATAAGCGATGACCACTATGAAGTCAGGCCTACGGATTACCTCCCAACTACAGACAGAACAGCTATTGCCATGGTTTAAACCCGGCCGGCAGCCAAACACAGCCGCTGGCTCACCCTCCCCCGCCCCAGGGGATGGAGAGAGAATTGGAGGGGTAAAAGTAAGGAGACTCTTTGGTTGAGATAAAAACAAGTTAATAACTGAAATAATGTAATAATAATAGTAATAATATACAAACAAGTCATGCACAATGCAATTGCTCACTACCCGCTGACCAATGCCCAGCCCATTCCTGGTTAGCAATCCCACAGGAGGAAAAATTCCAAAACCACAATCCCAGAAGAGCCAGAGCTTCCCGGCCAACCCTCATCTCTATACTGAGCAGGATGTTGTACAACATGGAATATTTCATTGTCCAGTTTGGGTCTGCTGCTCTGGCTCTGCTCCCTCCCAGCTTCTTGTGTACCTACACACTAGCAGGACATGGGAAGTTGAAAAGTCCTTGATTTCTTAGCAACAACTAAAAACATCAGTGTATTATCAACATTCTTCCCATACCAAATCCCACGCTGGACCCAAAACACAGCACTACTCTAGCTACTAAGAAGGAAAACGAGCTCTATCCCAGCTGAATCCAGGACAGCCAAATAAAAGGTCTCAACTTCTAAACAGTAAAAATCTTTACTTTCATATTTCATAAACATTGTGGAATAGAGAGAAGCATACTGCACGACTGTCAATTCCCAGCCTTCCAAATAACTGGTAGCAGAGCAGGCAATACACCTCACCATGTCAGATCACAATAAACGTAGCAACGCGCTGAAGAATTTTCAAGGCCTTTCCCAAATGCCCGTTCACGAAACATCTACTATTCTCCAATTTCAACTAGGTTGCAGAGATTTAGTCTAACTGTATCTTTCCTTGCAAAGTGAGGTTGACAAAAGTTCTGCCAAAACAAAAGTTATACTTTTATATAAATTTGTATACACACACACATAGGGTTTTCCAACACAATACATTACTTTGCCTTTTTCTAATTCTGCAAAAAATACATTGGAACACAAGCCCAGACTGGCAGACAAGTTCTTCATACAAGTTTAAAAATTTCCTGAGTGTACAGCTTCGCTAAACAAGGGCAATGTATTCTTCCCATATACAAAACAGTCTTTCTTTAACAGTGACTGTGTGACAGCCTGCTGTATATCCCTCCCTCTATAAGGTGGAACCTCGTCATTCACAGGTTGTCACCTGACAACCACAAGTGACATTAGTCCAATTCCTCACTGGGAACACTCCTCTCTATCTACATTAAAAGTATTATTTGTACTTTTGTACACCCAAGCCAGAGAATGTATCTTCTACTGTCAAACTGCAAAGCACAAAATGCTTATTACTCACTCTTGGAGATAAGACAGATTTATGACTGCACACAGCTTCCTGATGTTGGCTGTCAGATGTCAAGCAATTCCTGACATCAATCCTTACTGCATTTTACACAATTTAAAATTCAAACTCAAGAGCTTGTTCTTGTTTGCTTCAAGTTATGATTCAAGATGCAAACTGCTCTACACAGCCAGATCCCTATGACACCTGGCTGGATAAACAGCGAGTGCAACGGACCACTGAAATAAAACCTTGAAGAGGACATGGGCCTTACTTGGACAGACATGGAATGTGGCACAACCTCTGGCACTGAAATTCAATCCAGTTGCAAAATTATGAATCTTTTTTAGTGAGATAGAGAGTATATGATTTACCAGATTAATGAAATCACATCAGATTTTCTCCCTGGCTAGATTCAAAGTCTTCAGGAAATTGCCACATGACAGTCATCTGTGCAAAGCTACTGGCCATACTAGCACTTAAAAATTACAATTTTAAAAAGATTAAAAACAATGGATATTTGCAAGAAAGAAAAACTATAAGGATTTCACAATAGAAGTAGCAAATATATCAGCTACCTAGATACTTCAAGTAAGAAAGAATAATAATCTAATGCTTTCATCCCTCTCACTCAAAAAAATGTACTTGATCTAAAAAAAGATTTCAAAGCTGTACTTGGCAAACATTTTACTGAACCTAGAGAGATGTACTCCACTGATTTACAGCTACATTAACACTTATTTTAGGTAAGATACAACAGGACTGAAATTAAATCTTGGATTTTGGACTCAACGTGTAGCAATAAAGTAAAACGTAAAATATCTGATTTCTAGATGTATTTCTAATGTTTATGGTTTTAATCTCAGACTGAATGGATTTCTAGACAAATCCATTCACAGAATCCCTTTATCTGAAATTGAGCATCAGATTTTAAGTTGCACATGCATCTGTTCAGAGCATCGTTAAGGCTTTCTAAAGAAAAGACATTAAAACTGCGGTTAAATTAACAAGGATTTTAAGGTGCCTGCTTAACATGCTATTTTCACGCAGTCTAAAGAGAAGGTAACATTAAAAAGGAGCTTGAAAAAAGTGAGAACACTAAGCACATCCCTGAATGGAAGTACTGACAATCTCTAACTGCTTGAAACATACAGTGAACTGAAAAGGCGGCACCCACCCCCGCGCCTTAGACACAGAACGAAAAACCAAAGCCCTAAGCAGGAAAGCGGAACGCAGACATCTCAAGCAGCTTGTCTTTCCTGAAGCATTAACGCCCGACAGCTGGCAGTGACACCCAGCTCAGAGCCCCACGGAGGGAAGATTAGGGTCTAACTGACACGTAGCGGGCCCAAGCGCCGAGCAGGCCCGCAGCACCCCTCGGCAGGCCCCGACCCGGCTCCTCGGGGCTCCCAGCGGCCCCGCAGCCCGTCACCCAGCGGCACGGAGAGGCTGTACGGGAGCTCCCTGCCCCGCCGGGCTCCCGCGCAGCCCCTCCGCGCCCTCCCACCTCCCT